CCATATATGCAGTTATTTACGTCCAGTGTCCATGGGTGGTTGATGAAGGCCTTGCATATTAATTGTCGTGATGAGAGTTCCATAGTTTTCTTTTACCTGGAGAAAATTATGTATATACAGAAATGGCCTAGGCAATGCCCACCCGGTCCGAGTTTCGTAGTGTAGTGCTTTGCAGTGAGCTGCTCTCTGATGTGGAGTTTGGAAGTTGGATCATTCACAGAAACTTTAAAGAATTTAATTTTTGGGCCTTTGTTCCACGTAGGGTGGAGAGTTTATGACATAAATATAGATTGTATTTTGTTATGACTGAGCACGGTGAGGCCGGTCACGGTAGCCGATCGGTCTAAGGCATGCACTGTCTTCGCTCGCTCGGAAGCCGGGATCGTGGGTTCGAATCCCACTCAGGGCATGGATGTTTGTGTGCGTTTTTCTGTGTTTGTGTACAGGTAGAGGCCTTGCGACGAGCTGATCACCCGCCCAAGGAGTCCTACCGAACGTGTAAGATCATTTTATTTTTATTTTTTGAAGCTTATGATTTTTGGTGTCTTTATGTGCCTTTTTCTTTCCAAAATCTCTGCCCGTAACGTGGCTGGGTGCCTACATCTCGGGCTCAACGGGAGCGTCCCATGCAGCAGAAAATAAACCCTGTACTGTACTGTACTGAAGGGTTTGAATACAGTAGGCAGTACAAGAGAACATGACCGTGAGATACAGTGTTTGTGATCTGTGTGCTTGAACTCAACGCGCCTTAACTTTTTGACTATCAGAAGGCAATTCAAGCGAGTCTTACCCTTCTGTTACCGTACAAAAATAGCCTGACTGAGCTTAAAGAATTTCTCATGTATACAAAATTGTAGAATGTACTTCCAGAGGTAAGGTAAAAGTTAAAGGTAAAGTTGTCCCTATACTTAACTAATTAAGCACTACGCCATGAGGGCGTATGAGGGAGTTGATGTATAGACCCAGGTTTCCCTGACGTCGCCACTAGTTGGAGCTCAGTGGTCATCTTCACGCCCCGGCC